AAGTAATTAAGCATGCCTGACTTGGGGGTGGGATTAGCGATAATGAAGAAATAAGAGACACTTGAGTGGCGATACATTTGTAACCAGTTTATTCCTTAAATGAAAGATAACTTTAGAAGCCCACCTACTCACCACTTAAGTTCTATGGTAATTCTAGTTACCACCTTGATATTTACACACTGCCTTACCTACACTTTCATTTCAGTCACCGGCATAATTGCATCACTGACAATAGCTTACTGAAACGCAGTACTATAGAAGTACTATGTAATGGTGCACATTTGTCAGCAGAAAAAAAACATTCTAAATAACCCCCCCCTTTTTTTTTTTTTTCAAATAAAAATTATCATCACCAACAGAAGACACATGCTGCTTGTGTTCTGCTACCTGGGACGGGGAGGGTAAGCACCATGTGGAAGATCTCCCACAAAACAAGACAACGCAAAAAGGATTCTTTCCCATTTAGTGATTTTGGTCATAAATAGGAAATTTGTAAGTGACATCAATAAAAATAGTTTGTGTGGGAATCATGTACTGAATCTAACGCTCTCCTTTACTGACATGGAAAGAACGTTTCTCTCCCGGGAAAAGATGGGAGTTTATTCTCACGACAGGCCTTCAGAGCCATGACAATATGCTAACTTCAACAGCAGAGTTCTAGTGCTACAGATGTAACCTCTGGCAGCCAGATTAATGCCAAAATTAATTTCAAGCACGTTGTCAACTGCTGACTGTTTGGTTTGTTTCAAGCCTGCTGCGAGCTAACAAGGATGAAACAAATTACAGTTCTTTCAGAAGTGCAGAATTTATTTCAGTTTGTGCAACCAGAATGAAGGCTTTCAGTGCCTAACCTTTTGGAATTACCTCATTCCTTCAAATTTAACAGCAAGGGTGTTCCCTTTGAGTCCGTTTGTAATACGTTAACTCCGTACCTCCCTGTGGTGTTACTTACCCAGCTGTGTCAACTCTTAGCTTTTTGAATGCTGTCTGCAGGCTTTCCTCTTCTCCATCCTTAGCTTCCGTTTTCATTATTGGGATAGCCAGAAGCTGACAGAGTCACCATGTACTGCTACAAGCAGAAAAGAGACATGACTGTAAGAACCTTGTTAAAAACATTAGTTGCCCAGCAGCATCATAATACACGAAAATAAACCCAAAATAGCACACCGAGCACACAAAGCTGAGGTCATTCTAGTAGAACATTTTTGAAAGTTGATTCAGAACAAGCTTTATGATACCCAAGAACTGAACAAACAGTCTCTTGTACAACTGCATAGGTGAATTAGCAATTTCAAGTGAAATTTGGTGTCAATAATGTCTTGCACATCCATTACTGTTTACAGACTCTGATGTTTGTCTTAAGAACGTTACCAGAATAACTCCACAAGAGGTGAAAAGCAAGAAGGACCACCATTAGAAACAGTCAACTTTCTACAACTATTATTTCCAACTTTTGGACTTGATGTTACATACATATTTAACTTCCCCCACACTCCCCCACCGCCCTCCCCCCAAAAAAAACAACCCACAACAGATTTTTCTTAAAATAAGATAAAGTTATAAGCTAAATAGCAATTTTTTGACCTTAAGTCTAGGTCCCAGCAAGAGTAACTCGTTCCTATCAGAACAAGATATTTTGACTGCAAATAGCTATTAAAATTTTCAGACATCAGAAGCAACATTTGCACAAGTACAAATGCAGTATGAACAGCAAAAAATAAGCCTTGCTTTAAATAGAAAAAGGGATGGACAAAAACTGGCTTATGTATTTCTTTAGAATCTACCCTGGCCATCATTTAATCTAGCTAGAAAGGAATCTCAAATCTTTCTAAATTTGATGCTCTTCAGTACCGTACTTTCTGCAATCACTTGCACATCCTACACCAGCCACGCTTCTGCTAAAAAGTACTCAATAAAGATTTGCTTCCTTAGCATAGGCATTGCTTTTGCTAAGCAGCAGCCACCAAGAGCAGGAAGTCTCAGTTCTACACCAGAGCACCTCAAGCTCAGTATTTGTTTAAGTTTAGCTGGCTGCTTAACCTGCTTCATTTAATGCTTTTGACTTCTCTACTTCAGGAAAAACAGGGCTATTTCGTGTGGGTGCTATTACTTTGCACCTTCGGCCACATTGTGCAGGTTGTGATGAGATCATCTTCTCAGTCTTTATTTTTGAATTACAAGGTTGTCATACTTGAAAACCTTCCACAATGAAAGGACTGGTTTGGTAGAGAAGGGGAGAGTAGTGGATATTTTCTCCCCAGGCTTCAGTAAGGCTTTTGATACTGTCTCCCATAAGATGCTCATAGAGAAGCTGATGAAGCATAGCCTGGATGAGCCGACAGCGAGGTGGACTGCTGCACCCAGAGGGTTGTGATCAGCGCCACAAAACCAAGCTGGAGGTCAGTAACTAGTGGTGTATCCAAGACTGGGTCCTGTCCTGTTTAGCATCTTCATTAATGATCTGGATGATGGGGCAGAGTGTACCTTCAACAAGTTTGCTGATGACACCAAACTGAGAGGAGTGACTGATACGCCAGAGCATCACAATGTCATCCAGAGGGACCGTGATGGGCTGGAAAAGGAGGTCGACAGGAACCTCATGAACAACAAGGGGAAGTGCAAAGCCCTGCCCCTGGGGATGAACAAGCTCATGTGCCAGGACATACTGGGGGACAACAAGCTGGAACGCAGCTTTGCAGAAAAAAAAAAAAAAAAAAGGCCCTGGGGTCCTGGTGGACACCAAGATATTCAAAAGCTGTCTGGACACAGTCTTGGGCAACTGGCTTGGGTGGCCCTCCTTGAGCAGGGAGGGTCAGACCTCCAGGGATTCCTGCCAACCTCAACTGTTCTGTGATTCTGTATCTTCCTCAAATTTTAAGAATCCATTACAAAGGCGACCATCCAAACCCAGTGAATGATAATAGCTCCTCTAACAAGAACACACCTATACAGGGCACTAACTCTACCTAGTAATACAGGAATAATGCCTACGTTAGTACTATTTTTAACAACTAAGCACCAGCTGTTTTTGTAGCTTGGAAAAGATCTCATTGAAGAGAGGAGTAATCAGAACCTCTGCAACTCAGTTACTTATGCAGATGGAGAGTGGTAATTTCTGTTCCCTCACAACCTCATTCCGGTCAGAGATGGCAGCTCTACCGGCTGTTGTTCCGGCTGCTGGCTCTGCCATGATTTCATCTGGACACCCTATATTGCAGACAGCTATTATGACACATACAGAAGGATTCTAACAACTTCAAGGCACACGTTGTCCAGTGAGTCAGACAGCAAATAAACACAAGAGGAGGAAGTTAACACAGAGACTGACAACAGCATGTTCATCTGAGCAAGTTATTATTTTAGATACTCACTTAGTTAAATACTACTAATCTGGTGAAACATATGGTCCCTACTTCAGAAAACTTTTTCCCTTGACCCAAACAGAAGGTTCTTTACAATTAAAAATTCAGTTTACAACCTTTTTTTTAATACCAAATCCCTGTATTATATAACCTTAGCAAGAAAGTGACAGCAAAACATTTTTAAATCACTGTACATTGTTCAAAACATACTACAAGTCTTAGACAAAATATTTTATCATGCTGATATTTTATCATCACTGACACAGTAAACCCTCAAAACGATGCAGAAATTATTCAAATAAAGAGCTACTCACTCTGTAATAACTAAATATAAGCTTGAGCATTTCAGACACACCAGCCAACTAGCACTGACACCAAGAAAAAAATTAAATACTGTGAAAAACAACCGGAGTTCAATGTTGTGTCAAAAAACCCACGCAAACTTGTTCTTTATCGCCTAGGAAAACACACATCCATCCTTTCCCATTTTACTTTCAGCTGTCTCCCAACACTACAGGGCTACGAACCCATCCCAGTGCACCCCTACTCACGATGGTGCAATGCACAAACTCCCGCATTTGGCTTTACGAACGGACACGCAGAGGCATTAAACACTCCGCGCCGCTCTTGGCCAAGGCCCCGGGCACAGGAGCAGCCCCCGAGCAGGGACACGGCCCTGCCGCCCTGCCCCGGGCCAGCGGCGCTTCACCGGCCGCCCGAACCCCCCCCCCGGGGCCGCTTCACACGATCTGCCGACGCA